TGCTTGTATTAACATAGTACTTCCTTTAGGACTTGGGTCAAGGCATTGTACATTTAGATTGGTACGAATACACTTGTAATAAATCCTGTAAATAAGTACTATGGAACTAGTATTTTTTACTAACCTGGTAATATCGCCTGTGAGACGGATACCAAGAGTTAGTGCCATATGTGTATTAGGACAATGGAGATCAAGGGTGAAGTCAGGGAAACAGTTAAAGTAGACTGGACCTCGGTGGAGTCCTGTCTCCATGATTCCCAAGACACTGGGTTCCCAATCCAGAAACCTTGCATCTCTGAGTGCTAATAAGGCAGCAGCATTCCTGCCTTGGGTAATAAGTGGTTTAATGGCCACTTGGACAAGACCTATGTGGATAAAATTAAATCCTTTGGCCTTGTGAATTTTAAGAGTCTCCTTAGTGAGGAGCTCACAAAGCTCATCTTCTTTCCTGAGAGGATGAACTTGTTCAACAGTTTTAACTTGGTGTTCTTCACTAAAGGTTTTCTGAACCCAAGTTGTGCTATAAATATTTTTTTCTTTAACTGGAGGAATATTCCATTTCTTCCAGTCTGTTCTAGTTTCTTCTATTTCTAATTCTTCCTCATTTACTCTATGTGGCATAGAATAATCTGAAGATCTAGATGTACTAGCTCTAGAATTAGATCTGAATAATCTACTCATTTTAAAATCTAAATTGTTATCAAATTTTAAATTAATAAGTAAGTTTGACGACACTAGACATACCCCTAATCTGGCTCCAATTTCTCTCAACTTCTCGCCTGCGATCCACTCTTTGCCTCACACGGGACTTACGGTCGGGATAAGTGCGGCTTACGTACTCTTGAGGGTCTGGATTAAGGTTGGGTGCTAGGGTGCGAATCTACTTACAAATGAATTTAAAAGAGAAACAGATAAAGATTTCAAAGTGAGTTAGATGACTCAAATGAAATTACAGAAGTAATACACCAGGCCGTCAGATGGCTTTGATACCAAATATACAGACATGCGGAATTTAGAGGAATAAAGAAGAATATGGAACAGATATGAAAATATGCAAAATATTCAATTTAAAGAAAATAAACACTTACAACACTAGAACTATATTATATATATATAACAGATTCACGCCTCTAACAACAACATGACTCATGAACATGGGTTGTTACAAAACTTAAGTCCCACCAAAAAAATTAAAAATATAAGCAATAAGGCAAATGAGATTGAGAAAAACAAAGTAGGTCTCTTGCCATATTTTCACTAGAATTTTAAGATCAATATATATATATATATATAATAAAGTAACTTACAATTTAAATTTCAAAAGATAAACAAAATGATTTTGATTTTTGCAGTCTAGATCATTTCTAAATTTGCCTAAATCTAATATAAGGGTTGATATTAACCTAACAATTTTGAGATTCCCCCCCCCCCCCCCAATCTCTTCGTCACACACTCACTTAAATTAATATTCTCTCAACTCTCTAGAACTTTGCCGAACTCCTCTCCAGAACACACACTCTCTCTCTCCAGAAGTCTCTCTCTTTCTCTCATGTTCAAATCTATTGCTTTGTTCGGCGACATCCTTCTCTCTCTCTTTCTCTCACATCCACACTCTCTCTTTCTCTCGCGTCCACACTCTCTGTTCAAATTCACTCAGGCAGCTCCAAAGTCTCTGACAACTTCAATTGTGTCTCAAACAGTTCGACTCTCTCTCTCTCTCTCTTTCTCTCTCTTTGAGCTTCAGCGACACACCCCTGACCCAAATCCACATCAAGGCAATAGAACTCAGCTGGACATGAACAATCGAATGTAAGTCTATGATCTTTCTCTTCATTCTAGATAGATGGATTTTAATTTGCCGCAAATCTAGCCCTAGATCGATCTCTCAAATTGCCTCCTATTTTAGCCCTAGATCGATCTTTCTGTCAGCCACTCGAAGTCTCAAACTCAGCAAGGTAATCGAACTCAGTGTTGCTTTCCTTTTAATGTTGAATTAATGTTTCAAATAACCCAAGTTTTTTCTTGAATTTCATTTGAATTAGTGTTTTCTTACAATGAAAATTTGTAGCAACAAATTAAAATATTGAATTAGAATTAAAAAAGGATTTTCTGCTTGCATTGTCCTGTGGTTGAACTTACCACTACCTAGAGATGTCCTAATTTGCGTTAAATTAATTCATCTACCATTTGCGTCATGTCTGAGAGATTATCCAAATGGTTTTTGCTTATATAGGCACTTTCCTAATCAATTTATGGTCTATCTTTCATGATTTTCTTATGGACCTTGCTTTTGCGATTTGAAATGCTGTGATCTGACGGACTTTATTTTTTGTTAATTTGGTTGAATTGTATTTTATTGATATGGTTGGATTATATGTTGTTGCGGTAGTTGGTAAATTATTAGATTAACTCAGGATTGTAGCATGACGGTAACTATCTTAATGTTCTATTTAGCACCATGGAACTCAAGGCTTGGGGGGCAAAAATCCAATTTGAACCAAGGTTTCCCTAATTCCTTTTGTAGGAATTGAGTTTGATGGTATGTTCCACTAATTTTTTACTAACTGCATCTACAAAGTCCAAATCCCACACTGCCAAACTTGGTGTTATTGTAGGTAGTTTTACTTTTTCCCTTTTTTCATAGTTTAATTATCATAAAACACGTTATTCAGATGGTGATTTCTTTTGTGCAATCTAAATACCAGTAACTAATTACTATATTTCGAGTGATTAGCTTGAGGGGGATTGGTTTGCTACACTATAATTGGTTTTGGATTGAATTTATGTGGGCTTACTTAAATTAGTTGAAGTTTTAGCAACTGATTTATAGTAGTTGAATGTTTTTGTTGGAAATTGAGTAATGTATAATGTAGTTGTTCACTCCGTTCAAGAAAAACACTATATATATGCCTAATGCATTTTCCTTTTACGGGGCAGTAAAATTTTTTATGTCAGAATCACTAGATAGCTGAAGCGTGAAGGTATCTTGACCATCTTTTGTTGGAGTTGAGTGTTCAAAGGTAGCTAGAAATAAATGTAGTTCTATGTTTTCGGCAATTGTTGGTCATATGCATACTGTTATATATTAAGGTGGGTGTTTGTTACATTCAATATTGAATGTCCATAATATTTGGGAATTGAAGTTGATGTATGCTATACATATGTCTCTATTTTGATTGAATTTTTTGGAAGTTTCTTTTTGATTCTTTGTACTATTGACATTTAATTTCAGAATTATGTATGTTTGCAACTATATGTAAATCACTAAATATTTTGAGTTATATTTTTAGAGGTAATTTTGTCCATATATTTTATATATTCATCGTTTCTGGATATTTATTGTTATCATTATATGTACCACTTTTGTCTCTTGCTAATGCTCATTTTTTTAGTTGTGTAGTTTGTAATTTATATTTAATTACTATTCCTAGCTTTTGTATGTAATTTGGAGATTGAATTCCTTGATCTTAGTTTTGTTTGCAAATTGTAGTGACCTAATGCGAATTTTGAGAAGGTTTTGTTATTTTGTTGGGAATTTGATGGGATACAATATTGAGGGAAATTGAATGTGACTTGATGCCAATTGTTTGAGTTTATTTGATTTGATGCAAATTGTTATGATGTAATATTAAGGGGCTTCCTTGACATGATGACTTTGAATAATGATCCTCTAAAGATTTTGAAGATTGGATAGTACTGTGATTTGAATAATTTTAGTTATTTTAGTGGCCTCTAATATAATGTTTTTCAGCTTTTTAGAAGTGGGTTTAAACTGTTTCATGTGTAATTGAAGGATTGAGGCAAGTGAAGGCTATTTGGTACATTTGTTTGCTCTTTGGTTATGTAAGGGGTGGTGCAGAGGGTTTATAGCCTTGATTGTTATGTTTGCCTAATATTTTATGAAATTGAGTTTATAGCCTTGACTTTTAGTTTGTTCTTTCTCTTTTTTGGCTTTAAACTAGAAGACAACCTTTTAGTGCATTATAAACTTGGGTCTTTGGGCTTCAAGTTATGTTTGAGTTTAAATGAGTGTTTCAGATCACAAAAATTAGTATATGGGCCTATTTTTCACTTTTTGTTCTTGCTATGTTGCTATTTTTGCCTATATCATTTATTTTTACTATTATATGACTTCTCTTTTGATTTGTTTTTTTGTACATTTGAATTTTTTCATGGAAACTAAGTCTTCTAAATGCATTGAGTGAGTCATTTTTCTCATGCTAATGTCCACTTTGTTGGTTATGTACGTGACCTATATTTTTCTAAGTGCATAAATTAAAAAATCTTCATTTAAGTAACTTATGCAAGGACATTGTTTCTAACTACAATGCTATTTTCTTAAACTTTGATTTTATGTTTAACACAGTTAATCACACCACAACTGAACAAACACAACTGTTACACAATGGACAACGTTACCATTTTTGGCCATGTAAGTAACTTATTCTATAGATTTCATTCTAAACCTCTCTTATTTGTTTCTATAAAAAATGTTTCAATACTTAGTACTTTGTTTTCACCTATCTTATTACAGATGGATACGGACCTAGACCACACAGTAAACTAATGTTCTTCTCACTTTTCTTATTGTTTATCTTACTTTTTATCAGTCAGTTTAACTCCAAAGTGTCGTTGAAATTATAGGTTTGTTTGCTTCAACAAAATAACATATCTATTGTTGTCCGTAGTGAACGTGATCTTAATCGTCTTACCTTTGAGAAGGAGGTACCATATCACACTATTTTTAGTGCATTATTAATGTCTTTTGTTATTAATTATTTTTAACTTATCTACATTCTTAAAGGAAAAAGAAAAGCTTGCGATGGAGAATGCTAGCTCAAAAGGAAAAGGAAAGGCAACCTGTTTTGGCAAAAGAAAGAAAAATACAGAGATCCAAGTGGTATGATTAATCAATTGCTTACACAATCATAGTCATAATTGTTAAGAAATTATTTAGCATTCCTGAAAATACATAAATATTTTTTTCCTTTTTATTTTAGGAAACCAATGGTGATGTTATATCAAAACGTCAATTGGCACAACATGCACGAAGGGAACGGGAGAGATTGGAATGCCCACCCATTCAACCTAGAAATAATATAGGCGTTGCGATCCACAATGATTGTGACGTTAATCGCCTTGGCATAGTTGAGGTAGTACCATGTCTTATCTTGTTCGTGTATTGTTATTAATTTTTTAATGAATATGATTTTTTGTTTATCTGTTTGATATTTTGAGGGGGGGAATAAAATCTAACTCGGTGGCGAATGTGAGCTCTAAAGGAAAAGAAAAAATAAGTCGTTCTTGCAAAGGGTAGGAAAATATAGAGTGCCAATGGGTCTGATTGATCAATTGCCTATGCATTAAATAAATATATTTGTTATCATTTACAACAATATTATTATTTTTATTTATATTTTTAGGCAACCGATAATGTTATTATGTCAAAACATCAACTGACACAACTTGTATGTTGGGAACGATATAGATTAGGACATTCACCCATCCAACCTAGATTTTTTCCTTCTTTAACACCAAGTTGTCGTCATCGAGCTCAATTAGAGCTATTTACAATTAAAAGATCGCGCATTGAATCCATGTCTACATAACTTGAGTTTTCGAGAAAATGCACTATGCAACCAAATGTATTGGGGTCATCATCTGTGACCACTATGCTCCAAAGATCACATCCACAAAGCGTTGAAGTTTGTAGCAAGACGCAATCAGAACCACTCTCTGGGTGTTCCATGTAGATTTCTGCGCTTGCAGTTGAAAGAATTGTGTCGATCAATGAATTGGGGTCATTGTCTGTGATTCCAATGATCAATGAAATATATCAACAAAATTGTGGCGAAGGCACCTCGACATAATCGGAAATCCACGATCTTGTAGATGAACGCAATGTACTAAAAAATGCATCGTGTTCATCGTCTACAACGATCATGCTCCAAGAAGTGGCAAACCTGAGTAACGACACCGCGGTGCAAGAAGAATCACCCTCTAGGTATGTGTAATTATTTAGGATATCTTACACTTATGTACTTGAACTATACAAAACAAAACATTGAGTATGTAGTTTTTAACTTCGTCGTTTAAATCTGATCTAGGTAGTGCCTATGAATTAGACGAAATTGCATCTATGAGTTTTGGAGTAGCTTCTTGAAAACATGTATGTGAAGAACGACATTCACTTGGGGGTATGACTATAGAATGTCCTCATTGTTCAGCCTTGCATTGGAGGGATGAAAAGTTAGTTTCAAATTCATCACTTACTTTATTTGGAATATGCTGTTTGCAATGAAAGATTAGACTACCTTCACTTATTACACCTCCTTCAACAATTAAGGAGTTGTATGATGGTGATGATGATAAATTGAAATCTTTTCAGCAATATATACGAGAGTACAATGCAACTAATGCATTTACAAGTCTTGGTGCTACACTGGATTCAAGATTATTAGTTGGAATGGGTCCTACATCATTCACTATTCATGGAGAATTACGCCATCAAACTGGATCGCTCATACCACAACCAAATCACGAGCCAGTGTACAGTTAACTCTACATTTATGATCCTACTACAACTTTAGATGTTTGTAGTCATAGAAATCCTCAGTTGCAAATGGATGTTTTGAAAATAGTTCAAGACTGTTTGTTGCATGTAAATCTATTCCCATATAAATTTCAGCAAGCTTATGAGATTTTAAGTCAATCATAATTGGTTGGTCAAAATTTGCCTGCTTATCTTCGTTATAATCCAACATCAGATCAATGACGATATAATCTCCCTACAACAGATAAGCTTGCGGTTATATTACCTGGAGATGGAACTGAGTCAAGTGGAATGAGAGATATTAGTTTACATTTGAGAGGAAATAATGAGTTGATGCAAATAAATGAGTGTCACCCAACATATTTCCCACTACATTATGTGTTATTGTTTCCTCACAACGAGCTTGGATGGGAACCTGAGTTGAGACAGTGGGAAAGTTCAGTTGGTAGACCCTCAACTAATTGATTGACTTAGTTGCAATATTATAGTTATCGTTTGTTTCAATGTCCCATTGAATATTCAACAATTTTGAGGGGTGGAAAATTGTTTCAGGTGTTTTTAGTAGATGTTTGGGCTGCAACTGAAAAAAATTGATTGATATACTATAAGCTTAATCAATCAAAATTTTGTGCAAAACTTTATAAAATTCTTACAGATATTAGTGCAAATGAGTTGGGTCTTGAACAAATTGGGCGGCGGATGATTTTGCCATCTTCTTTCACTGGAAGTGAAAGACATATGTTTGAAATCTTTCAAGATTTCATGGCTTTTACACAGTACAATCAACAACCAGATATCTTTCTTTCAATGACTGGAAATCCTAATTGGCCTAAAATTTCTTCAGCTTTGTTACCACATCAAGCAATATTAGACCGTCCTGATTTGGTTGCTCGAGTTATTGAGTTAAAGAGAATATTTTTGATGACAGAGATAGAAACAAAACAATTATTTGGAAAACAGGTTGCACATGTTTTTACAATTGCATTTAAAAAAAAGGGTTTGCCACATATGCATGTACTTTTATTCCTTCATGGCTCGGACAAAATTCAATCCTACGCTCAGGTAGACAATGTGGTATGTGCTAAATTTCCTGATCCGGATGATAACCCTGTTCTCTTTGATACAATCAAGAGTTGTATGATACATGGACCATGTAGTACTCTAAATCCACACGCATCATGTATGAAAAATGGTGTTTGCATTAGGAAGTATCTTCGAACATTTGTAGAATCAACATGTATGGATGAAGATGGATATCCTGTCTATCGTCACTGTAATAATGGTTGCGTGTATATAATGAGGGGGGGTACAATAAGTTGATAATAGAGATGTCATACCATACAATCCGTATCTTTCTAAAATGTTCAACTGTTATATCAATATGAAAGTTTGTGCATGAATAAGATGCGTGAAGTACATTCACAAGTATATTTACAAAGGTCATGATCGTACCACTATGGTACTGGGAGGAGGAAATGAGATTCAACAATATCTTGATGTATGGTATATTGCACCACCAGAAGTTGCTTGACGATTATTTGGTAATACTTTGCATGACGAGATTCCAACTGTTGTACGTTTAGAACTTCATTTACCTGAGATGCATCGTGTCGTTTATAATCCGACAGAATCACTTGATACAATAATTTCTAAAAATGCACAACAAGATACAACTCTAACAGGTTTTTTTGAATGTTGTCGTTTAAATGAATCTGCACGTGCATTGACCTACCAAGAGTTTTCTCAAAAATTTGTTTGGAATAAGAAAACACATAGATGGACACCTAGACAAAGAGGGTACGCAATTGGTAGAATGTATTTTACAAGCCTAAATTTAGGTGAGCATTTTTATCTGCGTTTGTTACTCACTGTAGTTAAATGACCAACATCATTGGATAACTTACGCACAGTAAATAATGTTATGCATGATACTTTTAAATCAACATGCATTGCAAGAAGACTTCTAGAAGATGATGGAGAGTGGATACAATGTATGTAAGAAGCTTCAATTATGCAAACATGACACTAGTTGAGGAGATTGTTTAGTATTATTCTCATAGAATACTTTCTGTTGCATCCACTTGAGTTATGGAATCAATTCTCAATGCATTTATGTGATGAACTTAGCCACAAGATTCGTACAATGTTTGGCATTTCAACTCCTAATCAAAATCAAATTGAAGATTATGGTTTATATTTGTTGAATCAGTTGTTCCATGAGTCAGGCAAGAGTTTATTGGATTTTCCACCCATGCCACAATCAACTAGAAAATTGAAAAGCAATAATTGGTAACCGACTTTCGTTTGAGCATCAACAATTTTAGAATGAAGCACAACTGTTGAGTGCACAAAATAATGTTGATTGCCTTAATGATGCACAACATACTGCTTATACTGCAATCACTTTATCAGTAATTGAAAATAAAGGAGTTACTTTCTTCTTGAGTGGGGTGCTGGAACAGGAAAACATTTCTATATAATACAATTGCGACAAAAATGCGCAGTCTTGGAGATATCGTCGTTACTATAGCTTCATCCGGTATTGCATCTTTGTTATTAATGGGAGGTTGTATAACACATTCAACATTTTACATTCCCTTGAGTGTGCTTGAGGATTTGATTTATGGGTTTACCAAGCAATCGAAGCATGCAGAATTGTTCAGTTCAACTAAACTAATAATATGGGATGAAGTTCCAATGTAGCATAGATACTGTATTGAGACAGTGGATCGTTCGCTTCAGGATATTTGTGATAATCAAAAGCCATTTGGTGGTATCACGGTTGTTCTTGGTGGAGATTTTTGACAAATCTTGCCAATTATATCGAAAGGAGTTCGTGAGCAATTTGGTGTCATTGAGATGATCTGTATTATGGAGGAATATAAATGTTCTAACTTTGGAGTTAAACATGCGCTTAACTAACATAGATTCTAAAAATGCAGAATTTACCAAGTTTTTAATGGGGTAATATTTCATTGATCATTAATTTTATGAAATGTTATTTTTGAAATTAGTATTTGTTCCTCTTCTCTAATTGTACTTATAATTTTTAGGTTGGGACCAATCCACAAGAAATCGTAGAACTTCCATCAACAATACACAAGTGTCGTAGTCTATAAGAATTGATAGATAGAATTTATCCACATTTGGATATAGTTGGTGTAGTGACCTTGGACTTCCTAACTGAGCGCACAATTCTTTCTACAAGGAATGATGATGTACGTGCTATAAATGATATAGTATTGAAAATTTCACCGGGAGAGACGATTACATATTTAGCTGTAGATAAAATGGCTGATGGTGATGAAGTTGATCACTCTATCACGAATCGATATCCTAATGAGTGTTTAAACTCTTTAAATCTTCTAGGATTACCACCGTTTAAGTTAGATTTGAAAGTGGGTTGTCCAATAATGCTATTGAGGAAAATAACGCCGAAAGATGAGCTTTGTAATAGTACATGATTGATGGTTGTCAAATGTGTTATGCGTGTAATTGAAGCTCAGATTTTAAATGGAGATAAAATTGGCAATTTGGTCTTCATTCCAAGAATATCTTTGACACCAACATCTTCAGAATTGCCTTCTCAGATGACAAGGC